TCTCGAATTCCAACATTTCATGGTCATTGCAACCAGCAATCTCACCGAGAGCCTCCTCTTCTCCAGGTTGAGAGCACTGCCCTTTCACAGGGCAGCTTTATCTGGGAAAAAAAAAACCACCTAACACTGCAATTAAATACGCAAGTATCTTCAGGGATTGGGTGGGGACTAAATTGAAGTTTGCAGGGCAAACTTCCAGGATTTTCCTAAATTTTGCCTACCTGACTTCTCAAATGTTTTAATACAGTTTTTGGCATAAAAATGGTAAAATTACATGTCCTAAGTGAGGTTCTTCCTCTGAGGCTTTGGCAACAAAGCACACTTTGCAGGGTGGAGCCCAAGATATTTGCTGCCAGTATGAGAAGGCTGGAATCTAAGAAGACTTAGATTGCTTGCCAGAGCCATGTGGTGAGACCTTCACATAGGAAGAGGGAAGAGGTGTGCATCATGTGTTCGCTTCAAGGGTGGACTGATGACATAAAGCTCTTTTCTACCTCATCTCTGTTGTGCAGTGGAACACAGTAGATGAACAAGGTTCAGGGAGCATGTTACTGTCTGGGAGTCAGGCAGTCATTGAAAGCAACCTTCGGGACACGAGCTCCAACAGCCACTGCTCTAGCGCTACAGAAGGCTTGGGCTCCAACAGGAATGTTTGGGCTCATGCTTTTGTGAGCAGTACCAGCGTTTCTGCTGATGGCAACAAATGAAGGAAAACTCACACAGGAAGGAGAACTGGTACATCACGTCAAATCCAGAGGGAACCTAACAGGATAGAAAGTGCTTGGGAAGCAGAGCAGGGAGTAATGTTTTCATGATGGATATTCAAAAGACTGCAAGAATTTTATTACCGGAGAGTCATTACACTGTATGTGACCACAACAACCACAGGGAAAATGTAAAGCAGAATAGCAAGGATATTGCTGTTTTGAGCAAATGTGAAGGTTTGGTAACAAATTCAAATGAAATCCAGATTTCTGGCTTGGACATTATCTTCTATGTCTGTACAGTCCTGTATTTGTACACCTGTGACCTGAACTGCACAGACTCCAACATGTTACAAGCTAAAAGCTAAGGAGCCTCGTTAAAGAGCACTGTGACTCCAGCCTTAAGAATTAGGTCAGGTACATTTCCTTTGGAGGAAAGAGAAAACACTTCTGCCTACTAAATATATTCTGCAGCCCAATAAAGCAGATCAGACTTGAGAAGAGGCTGTGTCCCTGGTTTGGAAGACAATACTCTTCAGCAGAAGACAGCTCGTTGTTATCGGAAAAAAAAATGGGTAGCAAGCAGCTTAGATGATGTGAAAACTTGAAAAAGAAAACTCTCCCAGTCCAATAGTTTACTCTATCTGGTTTCATTATTTGCATTTACCCCAATACCTTAAGGAAACAAGACTTATATAAATCACACTTCAGACATGCAGGAAAGAATTCACTTCTCCTAAAGCTTCTGAAGCTATCTACCACATGTGACAAAGAAGCTCCTACAAGTAATACAAAACCCAGCAGCTGCTAGAAACAAAGAAAACCTGATTGCAGGCTTTTAATAGATACTGGAGAGCACAGAAAAAAACCCAACATCATAGCAATGTTCAGATATGAAAAAATCTTCAACCAACCCTCGTATCTTATGAGATACCCAGGCATTGTTAGTTCTGATGCTTCCAGAACTACTTGTTTTCAGGGGGGAACACATCAAATGATGGAAAAAGAGAGAAGTTTAAATTAAAATACCTTCTTTCACTGCCCTATAGTACTCGCTGTGTACTGGAAAAGGTTGACATTTCAAATTTACACAGCACAATCCAGCTGACACTGATGAGGGAGGGTCCTACTGACTATACAGTGTGCACGTGCCCTGACCTATAAAGTTTCACACCAGAGGGAACTACTACTGCACAAAGCTTGACATTATCTGTAACGTGGATCACAGAAATACACCTGGATACACAGGGTGAAACCACTAGCTCGATACTATCCAACAGAAAAAGCACCACATCCAACGTAAACCCTTCCAGCTTTCACACCCTTTGAAGCCTTCGGAGCATTCTGCCAATACACCAGTTTTCAATCTTTCTAATTTTGTCTTCCAAGTTCCTACGGTGTTTTGTTTACTTATTCAAGTTGTTTAAGAGTATTCTCACATCTCAGCATAAACCCAGGTAGTAAAAATATAATTATACTTCAATGGATAATTGTTTCCAAACATTGCAAACTGCGTAAGTGACAAAACCAATACTACAGTTCCTATAAGAGCCTGCATATTTCTTACTAAACATATTTCTTGTTACATACTTTATTTATTAGAAATCAAACATGTTCAGTACGCAAGTAAGAAAACGGTGCAGCCAACGTGCAATTCTTTCAACGCAAGAGCATTCTCAGCTCAGATAATGCAAACAAACAGGTTTTAATTAAAATGCTGTGCAGAAATGGAACAAAAACCCAGAAGGAACCATGTCCTGCATTTCATGCTTCAGAGTTTGTTCCAAAATACAGTACCAATTAAAGCAACAGTTGCTTGCTTATTTGTAATTATATTAACAGAAATTTAAATCAATGTCCTAACTGATACACAACTTGATAACCACATCAAGAATATTCTACTACTGTTGAAACTGCGATACAGCATGCAGTTAAAATTTTCCAAAGCCAGAAGTTGTAGCGGGCCCGCTGAAGCCAGGAGTTACTTGCTTCAGTGGATGCTCAGCTGACCACTGTCAAACCTGAAGGGATGACAGTTCTGTTAAAGGAACACGCTGTTCACACACGTCCACTGGGAAGTGTAACTCAAAGTTAAACCCAGCAGAGAACTTTGAAGCTGTTACCCTTTTCGAACAAGCTACATGCAATTTGAAGATCTCTCTGCAGTGACTCCACCAGCGAACTACCTGGTAGCAATAGAAATACAATCTTTAACACCGTTTTCTTAAAAAAAATGTTAAATGGAGGATATATACAAGTTAGAATTGTATGCCAATCCTAATAACTATTTTAAATACACTGCTGAAATCGTTAGCAACTTTCAGAGAAGTTTTTGAGACACTTTAATACTTGAACTTTTACTTTCCTCTAAAAACCACACGCTCTGCATGACAGACCTTGTACTATTCCTACTGTTGCCAACAATTCAGAGTTGTTAAAGTGGATAGTTTAAATCTGTTTGCCCCGGCAAATCCAGCTGAAGCAGCTTGCAAGCCTACCACCCCATTTCACGGGGAGAGGTGCCCACCACTGTCAAGAGACCTGACAGCAGGGAATGCTCCTGGCCTCTGTGGTGCCTGATCAAGGTCTGTAGCTGAAACTGCCAACAAAGGTGAGCTCTCAGCACAGCCCTGCAAATGGGAGCTGCAGCACCTGAATGTGGGCACATCTCTCTTCTTGACAGATCTGAAGGTAGCAGCGTCCTAAACACATGTGACAATGTACTCAGTGAATCCAAGTCACAGCCCTTCCATGCAGTTCAAAACAGCTCCACATCCCTGCCTCCTATAATCTGTAAAGTAAGCTTATTTTCCACTAGTAAGGCTTTTAAAGGTATTGACCATGCTTTACTTACTATATTTTGTATCAACATATATAAAAAAGTATGTGCACATACATATATATGTATCATTCATCCATACACACACAGGCAAAATCGTATGTATTTATATAGGTAAAAAGATGCAGAGCATATTTTCTCCATCACAAGCAAATCTTTAAAGAGGATGGAATATCGGGCAAACTTGTGTCTCAAAATAAAGTAAAAAGCAGGTTTTCTCATTAGATACAGACAGAATGCCTTAACTGTATTTCCTCTTACATATAAAAATTAACAAATAAATTTACAAAAAAATTAGTTTACAAATAAAAAATTAGGTAAGACAATCCCTTCAGGAGGGGAAAAAGAAGCTGCTTTTCATATTCAAAACTGCTCCAGAAGAAAGTCTCCCAAGCCATGCAGAAGAAATACGTGTGTTTGTAGTGATTAATTTAAAAGTAACAAAAATGAATGCAGAAGTAAAAATCTACTGGAATTTATTCCACTTTTAAGGAAACAACTACAATCCCAAAATGTCCTCTACAGAAGAAACTGGAATTTACGAAAGTGCAGTCTGCATCGTAAGTGTCCTCTTTAGATATAGATGTTATTGTGAGTTTCATTGGTTGTCAGTAACTTCTTCAATATCTTTGTGCTTTCAGATACATCCTAGGAAAAGCAAGAGATGATCAACATTAGCTACATTGCTGGTAACAAAACAAACAAAAAAACCCCCTCACTGTCCTCTACTAGAATTTTTATCACTCTGAATAATCAGTTATGATTAAAATGTAAACTGAGCAAAACTCAGATCTTCTGAGTGAAGGTATCCAGAGTCCTGCTAAAGGCTCCAGAGGAATCTGCAGTTCAACCCCAGAATGGGATTTGTTACCGCATTCCTCTTCACCTGTATGCGAGAGGAGGAGCCTGCGTATGGGCTGCTGTTTTCCTTCAGAGTTTAAACATTTACGTACTCGTCTGTTAGACTTACCTAGCAGACCAGTATAAGCTGTAATGAAAACTAACTCACAATGCCCACATTTAAAGCTCAAATAAATACTCTGGTACACACGAACCTTTTCTGGCATTTAAATTTAAGTTCAATTGGCAAACCTGAGGAGTGTTTTGAACCAACCATACTTCAATTAAAAACGTTTCAGAAGGAAGCAAAACATTCACTTTAGTAGCTATGCCATGATTTCACAGCTGCCTGATTAGTGCAGAACTGCTAAGAATTAACTTCACAAATTCAGTCTTTTAATTCCAGAAAGAAGTTATAGGCAAAAATAAATTTCTTAAGACAGTTTTCACATATTGCACAAGACAGGCAGATAAAGAGCTAGAACAGAACTATCTTGCATATGATGTAGAATGTTAAAAAAACCAAAATACTTAAAAGTTCTTGAGACACCTCCAGAGAAAACAGCAGCTTAAACAGTCACAAGAAATTACTCTCTGATATACCAGTACCACTATAATAGCCTGAAAAGTCAAAATGAAGTTTTGAGGGAAGCTGTAGCTGAATGTAAATATTATGTAAATAGTTACAGCGAGTACTATACCAGAAATCATTGTCTTCTACCAATAAAGTCTGTACATTACATCAGCCTTTTCAGGTGGAATCCTCATAGGGGCACATCAACAGCAGAATGCAAGAAACACAGACCAAAACAGACCAAACCTTCCATTAGTTTTTAAATATGAAATTTTACCTTTACTAAATTCTTAAGGACTTTAGAAGAAAGCAGAGGTTTGAATGCTTCAACTGTAACCGTGTCCAGTTTGATGACATCGGTGTAGCACTGATACAACACTGCAGGAATCTGCCAGACTTGACAGTAACTCAGAACTAAATACAAGTCAAAAGAAAATGTGGGTTATATTCATTAGAGAAGGAATCTCAGTTCTGTGTATAAAATCAACGTTTGTTCTGACCAGAAGGTGAAAGTTTATAAATTAACTACTCAGGATCCTGATTGCTAGACCAGCCAGCCATCCCTCGCTTCTCAGGTACACAAGAAAATAAATCACCAAAAATTAGTAAAATGCAGTTGGCATTTATTCTTGGCAAATACCTTAACTAGAAACTGTATATCATTGTTAAACAAAAATTATACAAGTTTCTGTAAAAAAAACCAACCCAAAACAAAACTAAAAAAACCCAATCAAACATAAAAACTCAAAACAAAGTGCAAACAAGGTAAACTTCTTCTAGAAAAATCATCCACTTTAACTCCTGTCAGATATGTTTTCCCTCATGATGTAACCACTAATTTGGTACTCTGTAATGAAAAGCCTCAGTTTTTATTAGATTACATATTAAAACTGAAACTAACTTTTACATGACATCCATCAGTAGCACTGTGAAACCTACTTCACCTGTAATATGCATAAAGGACTTTATGAGCCTCAGGTTGGATACTCAGATGAAAATAACTCTTAATAAAACATATTTAGTTCATAAGTAAAATGCCCAAAAAAGCCAATAAGCAATATGCTTTGTGAGATTATACTGAAGAATTTGCTAGTACTTATGTTCCAAACATAAGGGGTAAAAAGATTTGTGAGTGATTTTGAAATTTATCCCTATTTTACAGGGCACCAAGTAAGATCTCAAACTGTTAGGAATTCATTTTCAAAAATCTAACTTGTTAGCCAGTTCACAAAATTAAGTAAAAATTCTAATTGCAGCAGAATTCTCTTCAAAGTGAACTCTGTGTTGCCATCAGCAGCACTGTAAATAATTGGAATTGCAAAATACCAGCAGCAGGAAGATCTCGCACAATATTAGGTTGTTCCAGCAGTGGGCAGCAGGCCTGCTCTTTGAATTCTTTTGTCTTCAAGGCTCTCAGAAATGGAGATGGAAGTGTTAAAGTGGATTCCTGAGTTTTGTAATCAGCTACAGGACACGTTGAAAGAACGGTTACTTGCAAACCCTCCTTTCGCATATGGCCAAAAACCTGAAATAAAAATATTAATACATAAACAAAATCTACCTGCACACAGTAACAGTATAAAACCACAAAGTTTCATTTCAATTTCAGTGCAGATGGCAAATGGCAGTTTAATCCAGGTTTGCAGGACTAAAATTTGAATCACAACCTTCAAGTAGAAATTTCACATGCATTGCTCTTGGGATGGAGATAAAAAACCCAAAGAACAGCTAACATGTTTACCAAGTCTACTGAGTTTCTTGAGAGGCTTTAGATATTCAACACTTTCTATTCACCTGCAAATATATTAAGTCTTACTATTTTTACTAATGTTGATTGTAGGAAGAAAAAGGACTGCAAATAAAACCAGGCTGCTTATGATAGGAAGGCAGCTTGCTTAGCTGCAAGACATTTGAAAGTGAAATTGTGCTCCCCAGATGTCCTACAGTGCTTAAAAAGAGTCTTAATTTTAAATACTCAGATTTTATTTACTTAAATTCATGTTGAATTGAGAATTGAGAAAGAGAACCTTAATTTTTCCACAGTTTTCCCTCAAATTCAAAGAGGAGAGTTTCAAAAACATTGTACAAAACATACTTTTGGATCCATTGCATGCTGTCACAAAATACCAACATGCTGCACAGTGTTCCATTGTGTCAAAATGAGGAGATGCATGATGATGCACCTTCCCTTTACACTGTCCTCTTCAGATTTATGATCAATAAGGAAACAGGGAATTTGGTAAACATTACAGAAACACGCCTGCTTCTGGATATGGTACCAATCACAGAAGGGAAGCTGACGGTTCCCTCACATCAGTGTGTTACCACTGTAATAGAAAACTGACGTAACTTTTCAGAAGCACACGTATTTTCAATTTACAGCATATTTACTTTCTTGGAAACACTGGCTGGTGTGCATTATTGTTAAACTTTAGCCTTGTACGTTCTCATTTTGTCAGCGATCACTTACTGAGAAAATACATACAGAAGTAAAAACGTGACTCACAGAGACAGTGAAGATGCTCAGTGAATCAATTTATGAAGCATACAGGTCTATAACTCTCACCAAAAGCAGATTACAAGCAAAACATTTCTGCTGTACATATAAAGATACCAATAACCATGAGGTCTAAAAATACTGTTCATAAACACCCACATTTGAAATAACACATATGCGCAAACAGCTGGAAAAACACAAATGGAGAAGACAGCAAAACCACAATCATCTTTCTTTTGTAATCCCAGTTTAAATGAAGTGCAAGAATGCGTGGAACACAGTAAAACCAAAATGCTTTAGGTCTTTGTTTCTAAACTTACAAGTGAACCACTGCCCCACACCAAATCGAATTAAACTCTTCAAGACGTCAAGGAACCACAAAAGGCTAGTTTTCCACAAACTTGGGTCTGAAATCCCTGTTGCCCTGGTTTTCCATCCTCTCTGCTTTCCCATAACCTCTCTGTCTCCCTCCCTCACACTGAGATGCTCACATGGTTCTCCCTCACAACTAAGGAATCCTCATGCACTGGCTGGGCCAGCTGGCAGGCTGGACTGAGCAGGTATCACTCAGCTCAGGGCGAGGATTTGCTCTCAGCGGACATGTCAATTTTTATCTCACTCTTTGTATCTGCAGCCACAGCCTTACACAACTTCAGCATAATGTAATAGCTTCAGAATCTCTGCTCGTTCATCAGATCAGCAGAGACTCAAAGGAAGGCACGTTAGCAGACAAACAGCAAGACAAAAAAAGACATACTTCCTTCAGACCAAGCAGTGACCCAAATCCATAAAAGAAAACAAACAGCCAGAATGTTTCCCCCCTTGGCTTTATCTTATTAAAATCAACATGATGACATTTGGAGGGACCTGAATGACCCAGCAGTGTTCACGTATCCGAATGATGCTGGCGTGATGCACTTCGCATACTAAGTCTATGAACAAATGGGACAGAAACTGTTTTGGAGGCACCTTCCTTTGGAGTTTCTCCTTGTGAAAGGAACAGAACATACCCACTAGTAAAGATACCACCCATCACGAGTTTCCTAACAGGTTTGTCTGGTGATCCTTTGGCAGCCACACAAATGCAGTTATGTTTATTTTTTAAGGAAGGATTCTCCCAGAGCTGAAATGCAGCTGAAATAAGCCAGAGAAAATTTAAGCCAAACAGGAAAAACATTCAGAAAGTAGTTAAGGGCAACAAAACTGACACTGTCCAAAAGAAGGAACTGTGTAAAGTTGGTAAGTTACAGCAGATACAACTGGCAGAATCTAGAAAGGAACTTCATGGACTCTGCAGATAGTAAATTTGTTCATTTGTTGAATGCTTAAGAAAAGAAAGCTGCAGGGAGAACAGTTATTTACAATGCTGTTATGTTTAGAATATCAGGGAGGAAGAGGCACTTACAGTAAGTTGAAGATCCCCACCCCTAAGATTTCATTGCTCAATTTGCTGTCTTGCCAGTTTTACCTTTTCAAGCCACTGGAACTGTTGATCCTCAGCAACGTAGCAACTACACTGGCACAATAAAACCTTAAAAAACCAAAAAAGTTGTGTAAGAGGCTTAAAGAGTACAACAGCAGCTCATAATCGCGTGTAAAGATGATGTGAGTGCAGCCAACAACTTGTTCATTTTTCTTGGGTTTCTTCAACTCTATTTCAACAAGAATTTTTCATTCACAACTGATGTGAGGCACTCGGGCTGCCATACACCTTTGTACTGAACTTCACATGTCAGAACCTCAAACAGTTTTAGTAACCATTAAAACCCTTCGGATTTCTGATTAAATTACTCCAGAATAGTGCAGCCTTAACGTGTTGTTTGCCCTGGGCAGGGTAGGGGGATGGATGAAGACTGCTCTCTTTTTCAGAAAGCCAAAATATAGAGGAATACATGTGTAAGGCACTTACTGTTGGATCTGATATTAATCGGTAGAACAAACAGAAGGAATCTGTCGGGAGGACATTTGTTGTGTTGGATGTTCGACACCACTCATTCCACAGCTTTACAACCCCAACTACTTCCCAACACACAGAATCCAGAATAAAAGAAGACAGGAATGCTGCAAAGAACAATAAATACTATTAATTCATATAGAATAAAATCTTTGTTCTACAAATAAATACTGTAACTGAATTGGATTATTTCTTTGCAATTTCAAATTAAAAATTAAAACAGTAATTTATTTTTATCAACATACATTTATTGACTAAATCCAGCAAAGATCAAGAATGCAAGTAACATCACCATATCAAGACTTAAAAAATAAACAACAGTTTTAAGTATAAAGTTCCCTAACATCAAAAACATGTATTATTAGGAATTATATCAGTAGGGTCAACTTTGACTGTTTTAATGTACAGTAAGGATGTAAATATTAAGTCTCTAATACCTACCAGATATAACAGATTTTTTTAAAAAAAACAAACTTACTGAACCAACAAGGCAGAACTATTACACGGGCTCTAGGAAGCAGAGACTAGAATGTGCATCACTTAGTGGCAAAAAGAGATCCTAAATCAGATGTTCACAAATCAAATTCCTGTCAAAAGTTTCTGTTAAAGAGAAAACAGATCTAAAATATCTGTAACTATTTTTCAAGGGAAAACCTGAACAAAGAAAAAACAAGTGTGCAAAGTTAACTTCAATATAATCTAGATGTGACCTAAACGTATAGAAAACTTAAAACTTCTTTATATCCACAGGGAAAGA